GCAACCACTTTCAAATGTCACCCCTAACACCTAAGACCGGGGCTTTTCATGAATAGTCAGCTGACAGGAAAAAAAAAAAAAAAAAAAAACCCTGCGTGCCTAGGCCAGGGTTCTCTGTTCATGCCTTCCTTCTCAAATCCCCAAAGGAAAGAGGGTTTGAGTTTATGAGAAGCGGTGCTGGGCAAGTGTGGTGCTTGGCTGAGTCCCCTCTGACCTGCTCAGTGCTCATCTGATTCAAAAGTGTCACGTTTAGGTAATTAACCCTGGAAAAATGAAATCATCTGTTTGAAGTGAAGGGACTCTATTTTCCTTGCTTTCAACCCATGTAAATATTTAAATAAAACAGTATTAACATTTTTGTGCTGCTTCCCACTAGGTGTAGATTGAGCCATACTCTGGCCACCTCTCTGCCTTCCTGGAGGCAGTTTTCTTTAACTTCCAGAATAGTGATTTTAAAACTTCAGAAAATGGAAAAACAAAATAACCTATCCTTACTTACAAGCATAACAGATTGTATTTAACTTTATCACATGATAGATATATATATATATATATGCTGTAAAATGAGGGAAAGGAACTTTCTAATAAACCAATGATTTGTGGAAACTTAGCAGAGTCTGTTGTGATTGTTGCCACTTCCACTCAAGCTGGGGCGGGTTGGAGTTGTGGGTTACAAATAATGTCTCCTTGTTGGAAGTGGATAATCTGTATAGTAGAATATCAGCATATAGTTGCTCATTGGAATTTGCTGCCTTGGTGTTCAGGGCTCGGGATTTTTTGAAGGGCAGTGAGATTACAAGAATCATCTTCTTGGCCTTTGACCTACAGGTGAAGGTCTGTATAAGCAGGCTTGAATTACCATATTCAACCCCATTATGTTTGAGTGCTTCTACCTGGTCCATAAGCCCTGAGACAGCAAAAGCCCCACTTGTCCACATCAGGAAAAGCAGGGAAAGTTCGTGTGGCAGGCTTCCGTGGCTCTGCAGTGATAGTGTGTCTTCTCCTTGGCCTGTCATGAAGCTATGCAATGTCTGCTTCCTACCCCCTTTTGATACAGCTGTGTTCTCTCTACTAAAGAAAAGCTGTTCATCTTAAACCAAGGGGAGTGTTCCAAACTCCCAGTTTTCCTGAGATAGCAAAGAACCATGTTCTTTAGAAAGTGAAAAGTACATTTCTGAGAGCAAGGAAGGTGGGAGGCAGACAGGCCTGTGTCACTGTGTGAAGTTTTGGGTAGCTGCCTTGTTCTGATAAGGCCACTGTCTAGGCAACGTGATGTTCTCCCCGCTTTACACCTCGATGACTAACTGAGGCTTTGTCAGCAATTTCCATTCTTATTGCCACAGAAGGCTCCACGCCGCTCATATCAACTCATATTTGAACTTTTGCAGCATTTTCCTGCCTGGCATCCCTCCCTGGGATCTAAAAACACCTTCAGGCATGCTACATCACTTACTCTGTACAGAGTAAGGTAATTAAGCACATGATAAAAGCTTAATGATTGCTGGCTAAATAAAGCCTTAACAGAATTACAAATTCATTGAAGGGTTCTAGGACTCTGGCTGGTGAGATGGGAAAGTAAGAATTACGGTATCAGCCCTTTGCCCACTTTAAGAAGAGAGGTAACCCAGCTCTTGACACTAAAGGAACACAATCCATGTTGAATACCACACTCCTCTCCCTTCCCATCTTCCCAGTTCTGGTTAATTGTATCAGGGCCCTACCAGCCAGCCAGGGACCAAACCTTTGGATTACCTTTAGCACCTTCCTACTGCATTCAGCTACTGATTCTGTAATATCTGATGTTTGTCTTGGTCTTTTGCGAAGGAGCCTTGCTGCGCAGCCTTTGCTGGTCTTGGCTGCTTGCAGTGTAATCCAGGCTAACCTCAAACTCCATGTCCTCTTCCTGTTTCAGCCTCCCAACTGCTGGATTATACGTGTGTGCCACTACACCTAGTGCTGTCTTATTTTTGCCACCAGTAGCCTGGTTCGGGCTTCACCACCTTTTTAAAAAGTTTATTTTATTTTTTTATTTTTTTATTTTTTATCTTTTATCTTTTGAGACAGGGTCTCCCTGTAGCTCCAGCTGGCCTGGAACACTATGTAGACCAGGTTGGCCTTGAACTCACAGAGATCTGCCTGCCTCTGCATCCCAAGTGTTGGGATTAAAGGCATGTACCGCCACACCTGTCTCTTATTTTTTTATTTATGTGTATTTATGTGTGAGGGCATCCAATCCCCTGGAACTGGAGTTATGGATGGTGGTTAGCCGCCACGTGGGTGCTGGGAATCGAACCCAGGTCTTCTGCAAGTGCAATCAATGCTTTCCAGCTCCGGGCCTCACCACCTTTAACCCAGAAGGCTGTAGTCCCTACCCATCTGGACGTCCCACAAAGTCCTTCCTTCTCCAGTTCCTTCCTCCTTGTGGCCTAAATTGGACCACAATTAGCTCTGTCTGTGTGTGTGTGATGGCACGCATGGAAGTCAGTTGGTTCTCCTGCTAACTTGGATCTGGGGATCAAGCTTAGGTCATCAAGCCTCCAAGCAAGTGTCTCTACCCCAAGTGCCACTGAACCATCTCACTGACCCTGATCATTGACTCTTTTATTCCCCAACTTTAAAAATCTTTATGTGGACTGAAGAGATGGCTCAGCAGTTAAAGAGCACTGACTGCTCTTGCAGAGGACCCGGGTTCAATTCCCAGCACCCACATGGACGTAGCTACAAACCATTCTTAATTCCAGTTTCAGGGGAATCCAAAGCCGCCTTCTGACCTCTGCAGCATTGCACGACATGGGTGCACTCACATACATGCAGGCAATACACTCATACACATAAAATAATAATATATTTTTTTAAAAAAAGGACCTGGGTTCAGTTCCCAATACCCACATGGCAACTAACAGCAGTCTTTATCTCCAGTTCCAGGGGATCTGACCTTTGTGGGTTTGTAACGTGGTGCACTTACATATATTCAAGCAAAACACATAAAATAAAACTAAGTTTTAAAAAATTAAAAATATTTGCAATTCTCCAATATGTCAAAATTCATATTCTTTAACATGACCAGGTAACCTCCAGTGATTTGTGCCCTAAATTCCTTTCTGCTTTACCGCCCCAGATGACCCTGTTAAGTGTGCTTTACTTCGTCCCCGACTTGCCCTGCTAGCTGGCCTCTGTTCTTTTGCGGCTCCCTTTGTTTGCATTATTCTCCATGTCTCAGAGATAAAGGCAGCCTGGGTTTGAATCCTACTTATGTGTGTGAGTGCCTGAATATAGTATACCTCCTCCATGCCTGGTGTCCACAGCGGTCTGAAGGAAGTGTTGGATCCCCTGGAACTGGACTTAACATTTATCAGTTTTTAGCTTCCATGTGGGTTCTGGGAACTGAACCCAGGTCCCCTGCAAAAACAAGTGCTCTTAAGCTCTGAGCCACCTTGTCTAGCCCTGTCTACTACAGTGTTAGCCTTTATAAGCTAGTGTCTGAGTGGTGTCTCTCGTAGAGTTGTTTCCTACCTTCCATGGATTTTTCAAGGCATGATGGCTATCCCTCAGTGGCAGTTCTGTGTTCCAGTCTCAATTCCCCCAGACTAAGTTAAGGGTCCTTGATGGTTATCTTTTTATCCCTAATCAGAACAGATCAGTGCCTAGGACAGTGAAAGTACTTCTTGGAAACTCCAGTGTAGCCGGGCATGGTGGTACTCACTTTTAATCCCAGCACTCTGTGAGTTCGAGTCTAGCCTGGTCTATATAGTGAGTTCCAGGCCAGCTGGGGCTACAGGAGACCCTATCTCAAAAAGACCAAAAAAAAAAAAAAAAAAAAAAAAAAAAATTTTTTTTTTTCAGTGCATAAACCAGGCATCATAGTGTAATCTCAAGACAGAGGTAGAGGCATGACGATCTGAAGTTAAAGGTCATCCTCAGCTACATAGCAGGTTCAGAGCCAGCCTGGACCAAATGAGATCCTGTCTTAAGTAGAGTCAAAGGGGGCCTGGAGAGATGGCACAGCAGTTAAGAGCACTGGCTGCTCTTGCAGAGGACCCAGGTTCAATTCCTAGCACCTGCATGGTAGCTAACAGCAGTTTCTAACTCCAAGGGATCTGATGCCCTCTTCTTACCTCTGTGGGCATTGTAAAATAGCCAGGGAGATAGATAGCTCAGTGGGTAATGATACTTGCTGCCAAGCCTGGCAGGTTAGATCCCTAGGACACACAGTGGGAGAAGAGCGCCAACTCCCACAAGTTGTCGAGTGTCATGGCCTACAAACCCACACAGAAATACACAAAATAAATTGTGATTTAAAAAATAAAGCTAAGGCCAGGGCTTGGTGGCACACGCCTTTAATCCCAGCACTCAGGAGGCAGAGGCAGGTAGATCTTTATGAATGCAAGGCCAGCCTGGTCTACATAGTGAGTTCCAGGACAGCTGGGGCTACAGGGAGACCCTGTCTCAAAAAGACCAAAAAAAAAAAAAAAGGCTAAACGGGGCTGGAGAGATGGCTCAGCAGTTAAGAACACTGGCTGTTCTTGCAGAAGACCCAGGTTCGATTCCCAGCACCCACATGGCAGCTAACAACTGTCCGTAACTCCAGTTCCAGGGGATTCGACAGCTTCTTCTGTCCTCCGAGAGCTTTGCACAACAGAGGTGCACTTACCTTCATGCAGGCAATACGCACATACACCATTAAAGCTAAACAAAAATACAATACAATATGAGTTAATATTGAGTTACACAGAATATATATCCCTAACACCATAAGAAAAGAAAGCATGGGGGGGCTGGAGAGATGGCTCAGCAGTTATGAGCACCAACTGCTCTTGCAGAGAGAACCTGGTTCGATTCCCAGCACCCACATGGTGGCTACGAACCATCCTTAACTCCAGTTCCAGGGGAATCCGAAGCCCTCTTCTGACCTCCCCAGCATTGCATGACACGGGTGCACTCACGTACATGCAGGCAATGCACTCATACACATAAAATAAAAATAATAAAATTTTTTTTTAAAGAAAACAAAGCATTGCAGAGAGAACCTGGTTCGATTCCCAGCACCCACATGGTGGCTACGAACCATCCTTAACTCCAGTTCCAGGGGAATCCGAAGCCCTCTTCTGACCTCCCCAGCATTGCATGACACGGGTGCACTCACGTACATGCAGGCAATGCACTCATACACATAAAATTAAAATAATAAAATATTTTTTTAAAGAAAACAAAGCACGAACTAAAAGAAAGATGGGCTGGATGGCTAAGGGCACTGACTGCTCTTGTGGAGGACCTAGGTTCGATTCCCAGCACCGTCATGGCAGCTAACAACCATCCATTAACTCCAGTTCCAAGGGAATCCAATGCTCCCTTCTGACCAACAACATTGCATAACACAGGCATACTTACACACATGCACACATGCAAGCAATACACTCATACACAAAAATAATTAAAAAAATAAAAGGAGGGTGTGGCTATTTTTCTTATACCTTTGCTGTTGAGGGGAAAGCACGAAATGCCAGTAGGACATGGTACTCTTCTGCTCAACGGAAAATGACCTTTCTACTCAGAACTTGTCTCTTTCTGCTTCATTGTTGTGTTTGCTTCTTCCCCTTAGCCTTTCAGCAGCACCCACTACAGGTTGTGCTCTTGGCTAAGCCCAACCTTCTTGGCCACAGGAAGGATTCATGTACCCAATCCAGTAAACAAGGGTGATCAGGTACTGTTGCCATGTGTTTGCCAGGGCACCAGCCTGAGGAGTCAGGGGAAGTTTCTCCTAGACAGTGACCCCAACCAGAATCACTTGTTAATGGTTAGGCAAGACTTGTCACTGGAGGAGTGTTGTTTGATTGAACAACTGGTACTTAATCTCAAAGCCTGTGAACCACAACTCCCTGGAATGGTGCCATTTTATCCCCATCGCCTCCCCACTTAGGCCATTCACCACCCTTTCCCCAGCATTGTTGGCACCAGTGTGGCCACAATAAGATTTGACTCTAGAAGTGAGGGAGTTGATGCAACCATATGACTGGCCAGAGCTGCTGAAGGCCCAAGGAGGTGGAAGTAGATAAATGCCTTAATTAACATGATGGACGCCTCAGGTTTTATCAGGGAAGAGCAGCTTCCTTCCCCTTCCCCCACGGCTGTCCCAGTCACAGTGATCCACTGCAGTACAACCAACTGGATGGGGAGCAGAGAGAGTTGTAGAACTATGGACCAGAGTGCAATAGAGGAGGCCAATTAGTGTATAGTTGCACTTTCCCAAGCAGAAAGTGGTGGTAGCTGGACTAGCATAGTGGTAGTGGAGATAAAGATTCAAGGGACACAGATGAGAAACAGCAGAACTTGGAGATGAGCTGTCCTGGGGAAAGGGGAGGGGCGATGGCTTTCAACCACAAGCATTCATCCCCACAGTGGCCTCACATCTTCCTGGCAAGCCTAGAGACCATGTGATCCAAGGGCTAGAGCCCTCTGTGGTGCCTGCTGGTCAGCAAGTAACTTTAGGTTCCAGTTTGATAAAGACTTCCTGTGGTGGAAACTGAAGGGAAGAGGAAAGAGCTGGACCATTCCTGCTTGGGAGGTTCTGGGAGAAGGAAGATGGCCAGAACCTTGTGTGTACAGCAGGCCTTCTGGCTTCTGCAGAGGACACTACTGTTCTTGGGACCTAGTGCTGTTCCTCAAGCATGGGCCTTGAACCTGAACCCAGTGCAGGTCACCTTCTATACAGGCCCCAATGGCAGCCACTTTGGATTTTCAATGGACTTTCACAAGGACAGCCATGGGAGGTAAGCTCAGAGGAAATATGGGTATTGAGCAAGGACTCCCTCCATTGCTGCTTCTGTGGGCCTCTGCTTCTCTAATTATGAAAGCAGTTGAATAAGGTGGATTCTGGGGTCTATTTGGGTTGAACTTCTATCAGGAGTGCTGTGGAAGGACAGGTTCCAGTGAGGGTGTAGGGGAGGAATGCCACTGGGGAGATGGGCACTGAACAAAAAGAAGACAAAACTTGATGCCTTTTTTTTTTCCTCAAGGATCAGCGATATGACTCACTTTATCCCGAGCCCCTCAAATTCAGAGAGAAGCATCCTAAATTGACTTGCAGAACTATAACTGCCTACCCACCCGCACTTTCCTTTTCTACTCTACTCCCCTCATCCTCTTCCAAATTATACATGTTTGAAAAGAAAGAAGTAGATTTCTGATAATCAGTATTGATCCGTATTGAGATCAAACTGTCAAGATCAGAGTCCTAACACCCTTTTTTTTTGGTCTTTTTAGACAGTGTCTCCTTGTAGCCCGAACTGTCCTGGAACTCACTATGTAGACCAGGCTGGCCTTGAACTCACAGAGTGTCCACCTGCCTCTGCCTCCAGAGTGCTGGGACTACAGGCGTGTGCCACCATGACTGGCTTAACTCACCTTTATAGCTGCATTACCCTGAGTGACTTATTGTGGTAAACACGGACTCCCCAAGTCTGGGGATTGATAATGACAGCTTTCAAGTGACAGCCACAAGGGATTATTTCTTCTGCCTAAGAGAGCAATTTCACCAAGAGTTGAATCCTCTTCCCAAGATGGGACTGATCAATGAAATTGGGAAGGGGGATTTTCCTAGGGCACTTCTAGAGCCATTTTTTTTTTTTTTTTGGCACATGCCTGCAAAACCAGCACTTGTGAGGCTGAGGCAGGAGGGCTGCTACAAGTTGGAGGCCAGTCTTGGCTAGATAGTGAATAGCCAGCAAGACTCTCTCAACAAAACAACAAAAAACCCCACCACCTCCCATGTTCCTGAGTTTTAGCACACTGGGCCAAAAGCTCAATTCAACTCCTATCCTTCCTTCCTCTGTCCCCTCCTGCTTGTCTCCCCAAGCACTGGTCCCATGGGTACACCTTAATAAACACCCTGTACACAGACACTTTTTCAAAAGCATGAAACTAGGACCATACTAAATGCCTCTCATACATTTATTGCATTTACTCTTCCTCACAGCATTAGTTGGTTGATACTACTCCCATTTTATATATGGCAGAACTGATTTAAATCCAGCTCTGCTGAGGCCCTCCCTCACCACACATCCCCCTTCAGCTGCTCTTGTCCTTCACCTTCAAACCAGTGTTCAAGAAGGGATCTAGTGTTAAATATTTTTTATTTTTATTTTTATTTTTTTGGTCTTTTTGAGACAGGGTCTCCCTGTAGCCCCAGCTGTCCTGGAACTCACTATGTAGACCAGGCTGGCCTTGAACTCACAGAGATCTGTCTGCCTCTGCCTCCCTTGTGCTGGGATTAAAGGCCTGTGCCACCACACCCAGCTAAATATTTTTTATTTTTATTATTTTTATTTTATTTTTCATGTGTGAAATGTATTGCCTGCATTCATGTAAGTGCACCCACCTGCGGAGGTCAGAAAAGGGTACTGAACCCCCCGGAACTGGAGTTAAGGATGGTTGTTAGCCACCATGTGGTGGCTGGAACCAAACCCGGGTCCTCTGCAAGAGCAGCCAGTGCTTTTAACTGCTGAGCCATTTCTCCAGCACACACACACACACACACACACACTAAACAGTTTTAAAAAGCCAGGTGTTTTAGGGAGCATGTAGACATCTGGGTTTTGTTTTGTTTTGTTTATTGTATGCTCATGAGTATTTTGCCCGCATGATCTAAGTGCACCACATGTGTGTCCTTGGAGGCCAGGAGAGGGCATCAGATCCTGAAATGAAGTTTTCAGCAGTTATCAGCTGCCATGTTGATCCTGGGAACCCAGCCTGAGTCCTCTGCAAAAGAGCCATCTCTCCAACCCTGAACATCTGGAGTTTTGTTGGGAGGGAGTAGGGGATCATGGTGTACAAAGCATAGGAGGTCGTTTTTCCAAAAGATGATCAAACTCTTCATGTTCAAGTCAAACCAAATGGTTTCAATCCCATGTGAATTTCCTAAGAATACAGTTTTAGCAGTCCCTAAAGTAAAGAGTTTGGCCTTCATGGGGTATTGATGAGAAAAGATGATCCAGTGCGCCCCATGCCACATATCCCATGCTCTGGGCGAGGGGGTTGCGGGGAGGTCACAGGACAGAAGGACTTCACCCGGCTTTCCTATGCAGTGTGTCCATCGTGGTGGGAGCCCCCAGAGCCCTCAGTCAACGCCAGGAGGAGACTGGCGGCGTGTTCCTGTGCCCCTGGAAGGCCAGCGGCAGCCAGTGCACCCCACTGCCCTTTGACCTCAGTGAGTCTTGGGCATGGAAAGAAAAGAGGGAGCCTGATGGAAATGGACGGCCAGTCTCCAGAATCCCACCTCTTCTTGTGCCCTCCAGGGGATGAGACCCAAAGCACAGGCTCCCAAACTTTCCAAAGCTTCAAGGCCGGGCAAGGACTTGGGGCGTCAGTCGTCAGCTGGAATGACGTCATTGTGGTGGGCACTGTGGACACGTCACAGGGAGCAAGTCCGGGGCAGGGATACGCTGGGGGAAGCCCTAGTCTCCGCCCTTCCCCACTCTCCTGTGGCTCTGCTCTAGGCCTGCGCTCCCTGGCAGCACTGGAACGTTCTGGAAAAGAAAGACCAGGCGGAGAAGACTCCCGTAGGTGGCTGCTACTTGGCTCAGCTCCAAAGTGGCGGCCGCGCGGAATACTCGCCCTGTCGCGACAACACCACGAGCTCGGTTTATGTAGAAAAAGATTTCAGTAAGCCCGCCTCCCCTTCGGCCCCTGCGGACTCTGCCAGCCCCTCCTAGCACCCCAAGAAGGCCTTTCCCTCTGGTCGACCCCGCCTTCCGCCCCGGCCCGAGGGCCACGCCCCCTTCTACTCGAGGCCCCGCCCAAATAGCCCCGCCCCCTCCCGTCCAGAGCTGCCCCTTGGCTGACCCCTACTTGCCTCCTGTAGGTCGAGACAGGCGATACTGTGAAGCCGGCTTCAGCTCGGTGGTCAGCCAGGCAAGTCTGGGTAAAAGTGGCTACAGAGCTCTGCATGGTGGCTCACTCGGGAGACTGAGGCAGGGGATTGCGAGGGAGGACAGCTTGGGCTACAAGGTGAAACTCAAAAGGAGGAAGAAAAGGAGAGAGAGACAGAGAAAATCAGAGAAATCAGGCAAAAGCAGTTTGAGTTGCTGGGGAACACGGCCCCTCTCACCTCCCGGGCTTCCCTTTCAGGCCGGGGAGCTGGTGCTTGGGGCTCCTGGCGGCTACTTTTTCGTAGGTACGTGCCCAGTGATGCACTTCTCCCGTCTCGCGGCCTGAGGAGACCCAGGTGTCCAGGCCCCCACTCCTCCTGTTCCTCGTGCCCTAGGTCTGCTGGCCCTGGCTCCAATCCCAGACATCATCTCCAGTTACAGCCCGGGTACCCTTCTGTGGAAAGTTCTCAAACAAGACTTCACCTTCGACTCCAGCAACCCTGAATACTTCGACGGCTACCGGGGTAACCCTGGCACCCAATCACTACCCACCCCAAACCGTCAGGTCCTACCCCTGCGGGACCCTCTAGGCCCACCTTGACTGGCCAGCCCTGCACAAAGCCCCACCTCCCACCCCGCTCCTCCTCCCCAAAGTCTTACCTAACCCCCATCCACTCCACCTCTCCCTTCTGGCCTTGGACTCGCAGGGGCTCTTGGGCTTTTGATGGCCTGGGTTTTCCCATCTGCAAAACAGGGTTTGTCCTGGTGACCTCTCGGGCCCCTCTTTCCCTGACCGAAGTCTCCCTCATTGCCTGGCTCTTTGGAAAATTCCAATTTTTTTCTGTGTCTTCAGGGTACTCGGTGGCCGTGGGCGAGTTCGATGGGGATCTGAGCACTACAGGCAAGAAACTCACTGAGGGGCGGGTGGGGAGTTCGCCTGGCCGTTTCCCCTGGCTGCGGAATGGGGGGGAGGGTAAGTGGGGTCTAAAGGTCTCACTCCCTGAGCCGGGCTTTTCCTAGAGTACGTCTTTGGTGCCCCTACTTGGAGCTGGACCTTGGGAGCGGTGAGTGCCCGCTACTTTGCCGGTCCTCGGGCGCCCCAACCCTCCAGCCTTTTGCTCAGTAAGAGCCCGAGTCTACGGAGGGAGGACAAATGATGCACTCCCAATGCGTTCCTCCTTGCAGGTGGAAATTTTGGATTCCTACTACCAGAGGCTGCACCGACTGCACGGAGAGCAGGTGGGGATGGGGTCCCCATGGGAGTGGCCAAAGCCAGGGAACTAAGACTCCCCCAGATAGTTCGTAGGATATGAGGCTAATGTCTAACGAGGATGCTGGGTTCAGAGGTACAAACTAAGGCGCTCTTCATCTCATAGATGGCTTCATATTTCGGGCATTCGGTGGCGGTCACTGATGTCAATGGAGACGGGTGAGGAGGGGAACTCCCCACTCTTACCCAGTTGGGTCCCTCAGTTATCAGCAGTGGAGTTACCCTCCATTTCATCCTTTCCCAGTCCCCACTTTCATGGGATCACACAGGGAAACAGGAGAGTAAGGGTGATCAAGAGTTGGCCCTCCCTCTCTGCATCCTCCTGGCCCAGCTGCATCTAACCTCAGCCATCTGACCAGCAGGAGACACGACCTACTGGTGGGCGCTCCCCTGTATATGGAGAGCCGGGCAGACCGCAAGCTGGCCGAGGTGGGGCGGGTGTACTTGTTCCTGCAGCCCCGAGGACCCCAAGCTCTGAACACCCCCAGTCTCCTGCTGACTGGCACTCAGCTCTATGGGAGATTTGGATCCGCCATTGCACCCCTGGGAGACCTCAACCGGGATGGCTATAATGGTGAGGGAAAAGAGGAACTGGTTTTGACACAAGAGGGTTAATAATCCTAACAAAAGGCTGAACTTAAACTTGATGTGGTGAACTACATCTGTCATGCCAGCACAGTGAGACTGAGCAGGAGGTTCTCCTGTCCAGGCCAGCCTGGGGTACAGAGAGAGATCCTGTCTCAAAAATCAAACAAAAAAGCTGGGCTTGACCTGAGGGTATCAGGAGCCAGGAAAGGTGTGGCTGCTGAATGGGGATGGGTGAGAGAGTTTAAGGAGACCACCTAGGGCAGTTTCCCTTGATCCCAGTGTGATGGTCCTTGCACATAGATTTGGGCGGTGGAGTTAGAGGCAACCTTACAGAGATTTAGGACTTGAATCATTAGGACAGGATGGGAGGTGAACTGAGGAGTAAGAAAAAGGAATGGAGTTGGCAGGGGGTGAGGATCAGGGGGACCGGTAGTTCTCTGGACTAGCTGAGTTTGAAGAGCTTGGGAGTATTAGGTGGAAATGTCCATGTGTGGCTTCCCCTACTTCCACAAAAAAGGGCTGAATGTGAGACAGAGAATTGGAAAGAGCTAGTGGGATCTGGAACCTATTAAATAAGAGGCTCAAGGGAGCCTCTGGGGAGCAAAACATTTAGGGGACACCCAGAAAAGGTGACTCTGGGAAAAAGACAGTAGAGTGTCTAGAGAGGTGGAAGGGAAAGCAGAAGCTTGACAGCCCAAAACTCCAAGAAAGACAGTGCTTTGAGTGAGAAGGGACTAATGGCTCCCGCACTCCTGAAAGGTATAATTAGATGAGACTGCAGCCAGTCCAGATAAAGTGTTACATGTCAGTAATCCCAGCACTCAGGAGGTAGAGGGAGGAAGATCAGAAGTTCAAGGCTATCTTCTGCTACAGAGCAATTTCAAGGCCAGCCTGGGATAGATTTAGACCCTGTCTCAGAAAACCAAACAAAAGAACCAATCAAGGGGAGCTTAGGGACAGAAACCAGAACATCATGGGGCAGGACATGAATGGAGGTGGAGCACTCAGACAGGCAGTTGGAGATAGCTCTTTCACCAACTTGACTGAAAAGAAGAGCGATTGTGGATGGAGGATGGGACTCATAGGAAAATCATTTTAATTTGGAAGAAGAGGGAGTGCGATGAATGTGAAGGAAAATGGCCTATGGGGAAATGGAAGGGTGAGCCAGAGGAGAGTCCCTGTGATGCCAGGGGACTCAGATACTCCACCCAGAAACAGGCTAAAGGAGATACTTATTCAAGGGTCACATAGGGAAAGCGGAAAGGAAGCAGGTGTGGATGTCTAGGATGAGATTCAGGCTGTTTCTCTTTGTGAAGTGAGAGATGGGTTTCACCAGTCAAAGGAAGTAGGGCTGGCAGCTGGCAGAATGGATAAAGAAATAGGTGCTGAGGGGGAAATCCTTAAGCTAGTGGGAGACTCTGAGATCCAGGGAAGGCTGAAGATCAGGAAATCACAGTGCTCAATCTGCTCTGTGTCTCCAGCAACCCTGGGTTGACTTAGCTCCAGATGGAGTCCAGCCAGGCTTGCCCAAAACTGGAACGAGATTAGACCGAGGAAATTAAAAATGCAATCTAATGGTCAAGAAATCCATGCAGAGTGAGGCCAAAGATCAGGAGCGAGGGCTTGAGAAAACCTCACAGTGGGCAGAGACCTCTCTCTGCTTGAATTATATATACTGTGATCAAGAAAATCAGAGGGACTGGAGGATGGCTCAACAGTTAAGAGCACCGATTGCTCTTGCAGAGGACTCAGGTTCAGTTCCCAGAACACACATGATGGCTAACAACTGTCTATAACTAGTTCCAGGGAATCCAACACCCCTTTCTGGCCTCCATGGGCATTGCATGACATGGGTACACTTAACATACATGCAGACAATATACTCATATACATTAAAATAAAAATAAATATCCCCCAAATTAAAAAAAAAGAAAAGAACCTAGGGCCTCACATATGCTAAGCACACTACCACTAAATTCTATTCCCAGCCTGGTTTCAGTTACTTAATCTTCTGGAACCCAGTTTTTGTATCTAAAATGGGAATAATAGGACTGTGGATAGAGCCCAGTTAGTAAAGTGCTTGCCTTGAGCTCACGAAACCTGACATGGTGGCACATGTCTGTACTGCCAGCATAAGGGAGGTAGAGGCAGGAGTATCAGAAGTTCAAGGCCATCCTTGGCTACATCATGAGTTTGAAGCCAGTTTATGATACATAAAACCATCTCAAATAAATAATAATAATAATAAAGTAGTAATAGACTGGGGATGAACCACCTAATTGTCAAGAGTAAATGAAATCTTGTCAATACATTTTCCTTAATAGGCACTGAGGACTGTTGAAGTTTTTATAACAGTCCTATTAATCCTTGACTAATTTCTCTCCTGCCTGAGGGCACTATTGCTGTGTTCTTGATGAGGCTTTGAACCCTTCCCCTTGTCTCCTTGGGTCTCCCCTAGAGAAGCAGCTCAGGAGAGATTTGCAGAGTCCCCTAGGGAGACTGGATCACAAACAGCCACATCCTTCCTCTCTCCTTCCAGATGTTGCAGTGGCTGCCCCATATGGCGGTCCCAGTGGTCAGGGCCAAGTGCTGGTGTTCCTGGGTCAGAGCGAGGGACTGAGTCCACGCCCCTCCCAGGTCCTGGACAGCCCCTTCCCCACAGGCTCTGGCTTTGGCTTCTCCCTTCGTGGTGCTGTAGACATTGATGACAATGGATACCCAGGTACATGTGGTCTGCATCCAGCTATTCAAGACAGGCCTTTGAGCACTTGCTGGTGGTGCAGAGACACAGCTAGGGGCCCATGTCTGAACGGGGGCCAGCTGTGGGCTCTAACCTATCTGTATGGCTGAGATGCTGGGGTCTGGGGAATGGGACACATTGAACTTCCAGGGGGTGAAATGGTATGGAGAAAGTCTGGGAAGATAAGGACTCTATGTTCCCCTCTAATGGCCACTTCTGACCCTTCCCCCAATGTCTATAGACTTGCTGGTAGGAGCTTATGGGGTCAGCAAGGTGGCTGTGTACAGGTGAGCTCTGGCTAAGGGGAAGGGCCACACTGTGAGAGGAGGCTGAGCCAGGAGGGACACAATGGCAAGCCTGCTCCATCCCTTCAGAGCTCAGCCAGTAGTGATGGCCACTGTCCGACTGCTGGTGCAAGACTCCCTGAATCCTGCTGTAAAGAACTGTGTCCTGCAACAGACCCAGACGCCGGTCAGCTGGTGAGGAAGTGGAGGAAATGAACCCGGCAGGATCTGAGGTCCTGGAGAGGTCCCTGAACCTGTTCTCCTCTTCCAGCTTCAACATCCAGATGTGTGTGGGAGCTACAGGATACAACATTCCTCAGAAGCTGGGTGAGTGGAATGGAGGGCTTGGGGGAAGCAGACCTGGCACCCTGGCTAGAGGGAGACATGAATCCTTCCTGCTTGTCCCACAGATCTAAACATGGAGCTGCAGCTGGACCTGCAGAAGCCTCGCCAAGGTCGGCGGGTGCTCCTTCTGGCCTCCCAACAGTCCAGCCTCACTCTGAACCTGGACCTAGGTGGAAGGCATGACCCTATCTGCCACAACACCTCAGCCTTCCTTCGAGTATGCTCAGACTGGGAGGGGTCAAGCTGGGTGTACAGGACTCCCCTACCCCAGGAGTGCTGAATGGATGCTGTAGATCCAGGGGTTAGTCAGTAGGACATGGTCCCTACTGGCCACAGCAGCAGAATGGCCAGACTCTTGCCCCCTGCTAGGATGAAGCTGACTTCCGGGACAAGCTGAGCCCCATTGTGCTCAGCCTCAACGTGTCACTACCCCTGGAAGAGACTGGAGTAGCCCCTGCTGTTGTGTTACATGGAGAAACCCATGTCCAGGAACAGGTGACACCAGTAGGGACAAACAAGGGAGATTCAAGACCCCTGGTAGGGGGACTAGAATTAGGGCATGGGTTGCAATATGAATCCCAAATCTTAAGGTCACCCCAAGACCTAATAGAACCCCCAAGATCTCAATGTCCCCTAAACACTGGTATGAACTAAATTGAAACCCTGGTGTAAACTCATTGAACTCTGGCATAGTCCTAAACCTTTGCGTTGACTCTAGAGCTCTGATACCCTCTCCATAGACCCCATCTTTTATTCCCTAAGCTCTGATGGTCCCCCATAGAGCTGTGGTTGTTCTGTTATGACCCCTAAACTTCAGAAGTCTTCAGCTTACCCACACACTCCGCTGTGTCCCCTAGACCCGGATCATCCTGGACTGTGGTGAAGATGATCTGTGTGTGCCGCAGCTCCAGCTCACAGCCACTGTGTAAGAGGATCTCCCATTCTACCTCCCCTGGCCCTCCAATACCCCATGAGACCCTCTCCCCACCCAAGTCTCCTCTCTAGACCCATACCCAGCATTCCCTCCCCTGGCCTCTAGACCTGTACCTAGCATTCCCTCCCCGCCACAGGAAGGGCTCCCCACTTCTAATTGGTGCTGACAACATGCTGGAGCTGAAGATTGATGCTGTCAATGAGGGTGAGGGGGCCTATGAAGCAGAGCTGGCCGTACACCTGCCCCCAGGTGCTCACTACATGCGGGCACTCAGCAACATTGAGGTGAGGTGCCACCCTGCATAGCCACTAGCCATCAGGTGTGACAGCCTCAATTCCCACCTCCCACCTGGAGCTCTTATGATGTGCTATAAAGATGTACTAAGTTTTTAACACACACACACACACACACGCACACATGCACGCACGCGCGTACACACACACACACACACACACACACACATATATAATACTAATGATACAAAATTGGTACATAACAGAACCACCAAAAGGCTCAGGAAGCAAATGTTAACTAGAATCTTTGTTTAACACCTGCTGGGAATCTGGGAAGATGGCTCAGTCAATAAAGCTCCTGAGAACCTGAGTTTGGATTCCTAGAACCCACAGAAAAATCTAGGCATGGAGTGTGCACTTCTAACCCTAGTGCTGGGGATTCAAAGACAGATGGATCTCAGAAGCTCATTGGCCTGTCAGCCTAGCCAAATCTATGAGCTTCAGGTTCATAAATAAATGACCCAGTGGTTCAATGGTTAAGAGCACTTGCTACTCTTGCAGAGGACCCAGTCTCAACTGCCAGCACCCAAATGGTGGCTAACAACCATCCGTAAGTCCAATTCCAGGGAATCCAATGCCCTCTTCTGACCTCCATGGGTATTGCATGACACAAGTGCACTTTCAAACAGGCAATACACTCATACACATAGAAAATAAATAAATGCAGTAAATAAAATATAAAAAATAAAGGTAGAAAGCTGTTTGGGTGATATACACAATATCAACCTCTGGTTTGCACACTCATACACATGTGCATACACACTAACAACTACACACACACAATCTGCTGGGTTGCCTTATAGTCTTTCTCCCAATATTGGCAGGCATTTATATAGGGTTTTTTATTTTAAAAATTAAATTAAACTTAGCTGGGCATGGTGGCGCATGCCTGTAGTCCCAGCACTTGGGAGGCAGAGGCAGGTGGATCTCTGTGAGTTCAAGGCCAGCCTGGTCTACATAGTGAGTTCCAGGACAGCTGGGGCTACAGGGAGACCCTGTCTCAAAAAGGCCAAAAAAAAATTTAAATTAAACTTGTGTGTATGCATATGCACATGTGTGTGAGGTACTGGTGCATGTGTTGCATGTGCACATGAGTGTGTGAGGGTGCTCATGCGTGTGTGTGTGTGTGCTCATGCCTGTGGTGGCCAGAAGTCAACTTTGGGTGTCATTCTTGAGGCATCATGTACCTTAGTTTTTGGAGACAGGATGTCCCACTGAACCTGAACCCCACAAATTCAGCTAGCCTGGTTGGTCACCAAGCCCAGGGAGCCTCCTGACTTCACTTCCCTGGTGCTGAGATTACAAGTGTGTGTCACCACACCATGCTTTTAAAAATGTGGGTGCTGCAGGTCAAATTCAGGTCCTCATGCTGGTACAGCAAGCACTTTACCAACTGAGCCATCTTTCCAGCTAAATTTTAAAATTTTATTATTTTTATTTTACATATATGAGTGTATTGACTGCATGTGTATAAGCACACCCATGTCCCACAATGCTTGAAGAGGTCAGAAGAGGGCATCAGATTCCCTGGAACTGGAGTTAAGGACGGTTGTTAGCCTCTGCGCCAGTGCTGGGAATGGAACCTGGGTCCTCTGCAAGAGCAGCCAGTGCTCTGAGCAATCTCTCAGCCCCCCAGCTCAATTTTTTGAACTTCTGAGACACAGTCTCACTTTGAAGCCAAGACGGGTATAGAATTTACCATGTAGCCCAGGATGGCCTCCAACTCTCAATCCTCCCGCCTCAGCCTTCCAAATCCTGGGATTACAAGCATAAACCACCTAGCTTCAAAGAAAAAACAAAAGGTTTAAATTTTTTTTTTTTCCTTTTTGAGACAGGGTCTTCCTGTAGCCCCAGCTGTCTTGGAACTCTCTATGTAGACCAGGCTGGCCTCGAACTCACAAAGATCCACCTGCCTCTGCCTCCCAAGTGCTGGGATTAAAGGCATGTGCCACCAACACCCAGCTAAGGTTTAATTTTTTTTTAAATAATTTACTTTTTATGTGTATGAGTATATTGCCTACATGTATGTAAGTACACCTGTGTCATGCAGTGCCCAAGTTGGTCAGAAGAAGGCATCAAATCCCCTGGAACTGGAATTATAGATGGTTGTCAATCACCATGTGGGTGCTGGGAATCGAACCCAGGTCGTCTGCAGGAGCGGTCAGTGCTCTTAACCACTGAGCCATCTTATTTTTTCTTTTTAACATTTAGTGAGTGTGTGTGGGTGTGTTTGCACAGCACACATGTGGGGATCAGAGGACAACCTTTAAGTTGCTTCTCTTGTGGGTCCTGGGGATTAAACTTAGGCTGCCAGGCCTGGCAACAAACACTTTTACCCAGTGAGCCATCTCTAGTTCCTTAACAGGTTTTTCATTTGTTTGTTTGATTGTTTGTTTTAAATATTTTTAAATTTTTTTCATACATGTGTACAATGTATCTTGTGTTTTGTTGTTGTTGTTATTGTTGTCACCCTGGAACTTACTATGTAGACCAGGCTGGCCTAGATCTCACAGAGGTCCTCCTGCCTCTGACTCCCCAGTGCTGAGACTAAAGGCATATGCCACCACCTGAGGCTTACAATAATATATCTTGATCATATCCACCCCAACCTCCATCTTCCCCAACAACACTCCCCCACACAA